TTTAGAGGATCACCAAACAGAAACAGTTTTACTGTATACTTTAGTAAAGCAAGTAAAAGACTGACAGTAGAACCGTACGGCTTACATTGCCTGTGTTTTTTTAGTTTTAGTAGAAGTTTTACTGCGCCGCAACTGCATAAGGTCATATGAACGCCAGAAGATTAGAGGCGTTACAAGAGAGTAACAAATATAAGAAAGAAGAATGGGATGTAAGGGCGATTGATGTTTGATAGGAAAGAAGGAGCAAACCACACCAGAGCATCCGCCAACCACCCAGCTTGCCTGTGTAAAAGGCTGCAGTCTAACAACGAAATGAGTTACTTCTCGGATTCGAGTCCTATGGCAATAGATGCATCACGCTTATAGGAGAACTTTTTATACTTTATAAGTATGAAATAATCAAAGGCATGTTATACTTAAAGAAAAAAGGATCAATAGAAATTCTACAAATTTGACCTTAGTGTCAGGGTTGAATTTAAAGACAGACGAAAGCAACGACAAGTCACATGACGTAACCAGAGAGTAAAGAAACTACCGACGGTCGACAATAGAGCTGGGCGAAGAATCCATTCCGGAACCGATTCCCACGATTAATGCAGAAGAAAAGTTCCGACTCCTTTTTACGTAAACCAACAGTTATCAGCTACTTCAATCACTAAAATCTTTTTTTTTTTAAAGAATTTTTGAAAAATAAAAGTTGTTGGTTTGTAATCTTCCGAAATCAAGGCCATCCCAAATCTTGAAGATGTTTTGAGCAAAACAGGTAACCACCGGAAGAAATTATATAATTAGAAAGTACGTAATTGGGTTTGGAGTCGATTCCTACGATTCCTAGCTTTCAATAATCGCGAACCTAGCCGCCCAGCACTAGTCGACAACTCCCAGGAGAGAAAAGCAGGGTACTTGATGGAAGAAACAAACATGAGCAAGTGAAGAAATGTTAAAGATGTGTGAACAAAATAATTGTAACTAAATAATAATTGTACAGATTGTGGACAATATCAGTGAAAAGGTTTTCAAAGAAAGAAACAAATTTAGTTTACTATTTTTTTAAAGGCAAAACAACAATAAATATCGCTGTGTCTCAGACAGACGTAAAATCGTCAACAACACGGCAATGTTTAAATGATGGATTACTTAAAGTAAAATGAGGTATAAGGCTGATGTAGATGTATAGAAAAAAAGCAGATAGCAAAAAAAACACCCAAAAACAAATTGTGTTAAACAAAGCAATGATTCGATTCTCAAGCAGACGACACTATTGTCTAACAAGAGGACTTCAAAGGTATAAAATAAAACATTACCCCAGTGTGGAAGCCCAAAGCCACGGCCATGAGAGTTGAGAAAATGGCTAAGACGTTCATCTTTGTGTAGATAGTTAGTTCTGCGGTGAGATAACGGAGTGTTGAGTCTGTTCTCTTGGTTTGTCTCTTGCTTTGATCATCGCTGTCAAATTTCCGATATTTATACTAGATCAGTTGGAGGAACTATCTGCGTCTGACAGAAATCTCTCCAGCAGATACCGGGCTGTTCTTTCGTTATCTCTGGGACAGTGGTGTTGACAAACAACAAAGGATCCGGATTATTCACTCAAGAAAGTCTTATCAATAGAAGACATCGTCCTCTTGGCTCAAAGCGAAAGTCGGCCATCTGTTGTGTGTTTATCTTGTACTATGGATCTTTTTGGCTCTGAGTCGAGTCTCCGGCAGAGATCATGCAGATTTCTTAGTAAGATCTATCTAATCTTTTATTTAGTACTACTGATGTGCACTCAAACAGGATTCAGAACCACGGTGTTTATGTCGCTCACTGCGTAATTAATAGTATCATTATTATTATGATTAAAGTCTAGACATCCTGTTTCGCTAACTGTGTGCCCTGTAAACACCCCCCTCCCCCCCCTTGAAGAAAGAATGAAAAAGACAAAAATAAAACAGAAACAAAAACCCCAACAACAACTAAAAAGAAGAAAAACAACAAACCAAACAAACAAAAAAACAACAACGCAATTTCTTCCAAAATAAGGACAACAATAAAGTACTCTTTAACTTTTTTGTCAAATCCAAAACAAAATTCTGTCGTTATTGCTACTCTGTTCTGCTTTAGTCAAAGAATAGTATCGGCTATTTCCCCTCTTCATTCTTGTGTCTAAACCAGATAACGTACTCTGTCGGTGTTCTGTAAAAAAAAAAAAAAAAAATTTAGAAAAACTGTGACGTAAACAACTAAATGGGAGGGGGGGGGGGGTGCAGTTAGCCTTCAAACAATTTGGTTGGACTGCAATGAGATTGGTGGTTCGAACCCCCTAGATTCTCGAGTTTGGGTACGTTCTATCTTGGTGGATGGGGTTTACAATGAGATGCCCGACATTTCATTATAGTAATAGCAATAAGTAGCATTTGTATAGCGCATATACCCGCTCGACAGAAAGCTCTGTGCACTTTACACCATACGCTATTTACTATATGTGAGGCAGCGTGGTGGAATCAGACTCTCCTCAAAATAATCAAAGAGAAGAAACTTGCATTTTTCCGCAGGTTTGTGAATTTTTATCTCATTTTTGTTTTTTGGCTCAACACCTTTCAAGCCCATTAAAAAACTCATTTCGGTGTGGATTTTTCTGAAAAACGTTGATGAAAAGCACAAAAAATGTAATTTTGCAGTTACCACGGACTCTTAAGCTAAGGAAATAACTAATCATTTTCTCACTAATTTTACCTCCGAAAACAAGTGACCTCTACCTCCTTCTTTCGCAAATATCTCGACTTGTATTCCAGATAAATGGATTTTTTTTCATCCAAATAAAGACAAGTGAACAAGCTTTAAGATAATACCTATAACTCTACATGTCCAAAAATTGACGAGAGCCTGATTCCACCACGCTGCCTCACATATAATACACATCACCTTGTTCCTAGTGACGCGGAATCTTACATCTTATTATTCTATATGTGAGGTGTGCTGACAAAATGAGTTACTTCTTGGATTTTTGCATTATGGAAATTGATGCATCAACTTGATTGCTGAAGTTTGTGCAATTGGTGAGCATGGAATAGTAAAAGACACTGTAGACTTGAACAAAATGGCATCAGTTGAAAATCTACAAATCTGACCCCAGTGTCTATTTTCAGCTGATATCTCCATTCTTGGATTGTGAGAAGTAACTCATTTTGTCAGCACATCTCACATATACTTTACTACAGGCTTGAGACAGGGCACCGGGGCACCTCTTCTACAGAAGTCAGCAGGAGGGTAGCGGTTTTTTGTTGGCTCTGGAAATCCTAACTCTTGGAATACAGTTCCGATTTCTCTAACGGCTAAATGAATTCATCCCTGTCTGTAGGGATGTCCCAGAAAAAGATTGGGAAGGGGGGGGGGGGGAGGGGATGATAACAACTCTATGAAAATCAAAGCAGCTCAGAAAGGAACATGTCCTTTAGGAATTCGAACTTTTGTCCCCCGCACATTCATACAGTCCAAACAGCTCCCGGAAGAACGATGGCGTATTCTTTTTTATTTGACAAACACTTTCCCTCCGAACTCAAGCAAATGCTTGCACATTTAAAAAAAACACTATTTTATTGAAACTTGTCTACTTTTGTCAAGAAAAATACTTTACTTCCTTGATATTATTATATAAAGAAGAACAATAGCGATGAGACTCGTAATGGTGGGATTGTGGGCTCGGGGATAGGGTTCGAGGCTGGGCACGGTCCGACGGCGTGTCTTGGAGAAAGGCACGACGACACATGATTTTTCGCTTGTGGTTCGACATTATCGGAGATGGACGTTGCATTTAAAGATGCTGCTTCTTAAAGAAACCTTGGGGGCTCTCGTGGCCTAGAGGTTAAGGTGTTGGCCTCTCATTCAAAGGTCCCGGGTTCGATTCCGGGTAGCGACCATAACATTTTCTTCTCTAAAATTGTCTTCTTTCACATCCTTTCCTGATCTCTAGCAATGTTCTGTTGTCTGCTTTCATTTCCACTTTCTGCCCCCACCCCCTCACCTCCTTTGCCACCTCCTCTGGGCTCCTGACTCTTTCTGCAGCCTTTCTACTGCTACTCCTTGGCTCCTGCTAACTGCTGTCTTTCTGCCACACCCCTGATCTTCTGGTAGGAAAGATCTACACCTAGCCTTCTCGGACAAGGGCGAAAAATCTCGGAGGGCCCGTGTGCAAGTTGCGCACGATAAAGATCCCTTGGTGGTCTAAAATCGATAAGAGTAGGCTTCGGCCGCCACCCGGGCAAAATTCAAAATTTCCTACCAACGAAAAAGTATTAGGTGTGTCCCGCGCGCTCATATGACCTTATGCAGTTGCGAGCGCCGTAAAACCCTATACTAAACAACAAACAGACAAACAAAAGAAAAACTTACTGCGCTGTAGGGCGCAACGAAGTTATTCAATTTCGCCAAAATTTACACAAAATAACACGGGGTTGTTTTTTTCCGCTGTTTATGAGATCTATAGTTTGTCTTATGAGCCTTAACACAAAGCAATATGTGAGGCAGCGTGGTGGAATCAGGCTCTCGTCAAAATAATCAAAGTGAAGAAACTTGCATTTTTCCGCTGGTTTGTGAATTTTTATCAAATTTTTGTTTTTGGCTCAATACCTTTCATGCCCATTAAAGAACTCATTTATGGGTAGATTTTCTGAAAAACGTTGATGAAAGGCACAAAAAATGTCAATTTTCAGTTACGACGGACTCTTAAGCAAAGGGAAAAACTAATTTTGACGACCATTTTCTCACTAATTTTACCTCTGAAAATAGGTGACCCTCACCTCCTTCTTTTGCAAATATCTCGATTTGTGTTCAAGATAAATGGATATTTTTTTCATCCAAATAAAGACAAGTGAACAAGCTTTAAGATGATACCAATAACTCTACATGCCCCAAAATTGACGAGAGCCTGATTCCACCACGCTGCCTCACATATAGTAGGAAAAACTTCAACTAGAGACCGTATCTTGACAGCCAACAAAGACAGAACCGGCTCAAAAGTCTGTATACACATGATGTATTTTCTTTGTTCAGATTTCCAGAGAATAAAAAGAAGAGATGACGTTACTCAGACCAGAGGTCATGGATCCTGTCCGAGTGCCAATGTATCGGATCTGTCACAGAGGTGCGTGGGAAATTGACCAGACGGACAACAATTACTGACCTACATGCATCAGCACCTGGTGCATTGATAAGACTGACAGATATCGGAGACATATTTACGAGTAGACTCTGGTCCTTCTTAGTGGAAATCTGAAATTACAATCATCGTAGAAAAACGACCATATCCTGTACGAATTAATTGCGCACTAGTTCACAGGCTGATCGGGTATAAATATTGGGATATTGCAGGCAGTGGACACATACCACAAGATCCCAATCCATAGACAAGACAGAAAATCATTTCAGTTATCTACAAGACACAACCACACAGAGACAGACAAGACAGAAGATCTTTTCAGCTATCTACAAGACACAACCACACACACACACAGAGACAGAATGAACAGCCTGCTTGTTTTCTCCGCCTCACTCACGGTCGTCTTGAGCAGTGTAGTTCCCAACTTGGTAAGTGTCTGTCTTCATTTGAGAAACCTCACTGAATATCCGGTTGTACAGGAGAGAGAGAGAGAGAGAGAGAGAGAGAGAGAGAGAGAGGGGGGAGGGAGAGAGAGAATGTTTTAAGGAGCGGATTGTTTCAACATGTAAGACATATTTACCAAATTCCTGTCTTGTTGTGCGTATGCGTGAGTGCACCTAACCTTCGTAACGTCTACTGTCATTGTAAACGACCAAGACAAATTTCATACTGCGAGATGAACAAAGATTGTCATTGTCATTGTCAAAATACAAAGAAGTAAGTTAAGAATTTAATGAATAAGCTTCATCGGTTATTTCTAGGAGTATAACTTAAACATCTCCCCAGCCATGTTGTTCGTTAATTTCAAAGTACTTTTACACACTTTACTAAGGTTTGATGAGACGATCGGCACGGAAGTCTGAACCTGTCTTTGTCATACCATTGTGGTCTACAAGTTTTTGCTTTACGATACAGAATACAATGACTTTTATTTGACTTTTTTGTTGTCATTGTTTTTGGTTTCTATAATATATTACCTTATGTAATTGCGAGCGCTGTATAACTCTTATAAAACAAAACTAACTTTATATATTTGACGCAACGTCTGCTCTGAAACATAACAGCACTGGACTTTTATCATGGAAAAGATTAAGTTACACTGTTGTTGTTGTTGTTTTTTCGGCAGCTTACATTACAAACAAAATCAAATATTTTATCCGCTCGATTTTTGTGCTGCTGTAGTGCGGCTCCGTGATCTAGTTATGGTGGTGGTTGGCGGGTGCTCTTGTGTGGTTTGCTCCTTCTTTCCTTTTAAACATCTTTCATCATTGTCTCCCCTCCTTTTTGTGTTTGTTACTCTCTTATAACACCTCTTATCTTCGACACTTATATGACCGTATTGTGTTGCAAGTGCCGTAAAACACTTACTAAAATTAGC